TCCTTGCAACGTGAAAAGCACTATACAAATGTAATTTTGTTGTTGTTGATTATACTTTATGCACCATAATGTATATGCACTATCTTGTACTTGTACTTAGGCCTAAGGTGATGAGAAATGTTGGGCCCCAAGGATAGAAACAAGGAGTCTGTCTGATTTTTTCCGCTTCTTATCCAGTGTGCTGAAACAAATTCTAACAGGCTTACTGACACCCACCTTGATGCCAATGTTGCATTAATTGGTGATCAATCATGGGATTTTCCTAATGTGTATAGCTCAGCTACGCACATGATAAACTCAGTGAAACATTGGTGGAGCTCAAAGCCATGTTTTGATGATGTTTCTGCTGAACAGCAGCCAGTCAATGTCCAGATGTCACATTTGGTCAGTAAAACAATCTAATACTAAACTCTCCAAAATACCTGAAGAAATTCACTACTTCCATGTACTACCCTGGAAAGAGGACAGGCAATAATAGAAAAAACAGGATATGTCAACTGTCTCATCCATCAAAGACTGGCACTTAAAGAACTCATAAAGAAATTCAATTAATTCATGCATGTGGGGTCATAAATGTGAGCTGAATAAAATATAAGCAGACCATGTTTCTTGCTTGAATGGCATTAAGAACCTCAGAATCATATGGAAATAAGTTCTGTTTCAGTGGACCTTAATTATGATGAAAGTGGATGAAGAGCCGTCAAATGCTATTGGACTATTCTTAGAATTGTACACAATGACTATATGACTGTCAAAGTGTCAACTGTCAATAGAGCCTGTATTCAAAACCTTTCCATCAGTTCCTGTCTTTCTGGGTTTGCCAATTTAAGTCTCAGTTTCAGTATTTCTTAACTGTATTCGTTAATGTGGAATCCCTTCAATTCAGTGGCCTTCTGCGCCAGAAGAAGATTGCATCAGAATTACTGTTCTTGGGGGGTGGTAAGCAGTGATCTCCTTGGAGCTGAGCTGGCTCCAAGTTGACACGGTGGCAGAAGAATGTCAGAATCAAGTCAAGTCAATGATGGTCTCAGTACCAGTTCAGGAGTGGAGAGAGTGAGGCAGTAAGCAGTGGATTTTAGGAGACAGTTCCAGAGAGTGGGGGCAAAATGGCTACAATCTAAAAGGAATACATCAATGATGTCCATTAACAGATCAAACGTTTAAGACGATTTCATTAGGATTGAGTGAGCTAATGCAAATGCCAAGGTATAAATCAAAATGCTTTGTTCTTCTACAGCCAGTTTGGAAAGTAGCAGACTGTGCTATTATTTAAGCACCAAATTACATGTTGAAATCTCTTTAACAAGCAAAGAAAAGTGAAATGCCCACAGTATCAAAGTTAGTGTTGCAAATATATACTAATTGAGAAATGGATTTTTAAATATATAACTCTCCCTGCAGCATTAAGCTGAATAATAATACATGCCATTTGCTCTGCAGTGTGTATTATGCACCCAATGTATTAACCTAACTAAAAATATGCAGGTATGAGATTCCATTTTTATTGCAATGTGGTTGTATGTATCTGAATGACAAGATATAATAAAATGCAAAAGTTATTATGTATGCTTCCCAATCAATGCTAGGCATTCTAGAGAAAACTAATCACAATAAATGAATACCATTCTGCAGAAAAGTGAAGGTTGCATTGGGGTTATGAAAATGTAATGGCAAGGAAAGAGAACATTATCCTTGACTCGAAGGAATATGCCATTAAAATCATGCGGCTTTACCTGCCATTGTATCGCATTATAGAAAAAAATGATGACGAGCATAAACAGAGAATTTTCAATTATATGATCATTGCTGCAATATCATGCTGCAAGAAGTTTACAAAAAGACATTACTGGTGTCTGCGCAGCTGCTGTATAGAATTTGCCTTCATATGCCTGGGCTTTCAAAACAGAGGATACCCATCCTTTGGTGCTTTTAGGTATTTGTCCACAAAACCGCAATCACTTTGCTTTACAATTTATCTTATGAAATGCTTTGAAAAGTCCTCCCAACATGAAAGGCATTAGAGCAAATGTAAGAATTATCATGCATAGGTGTTCATATCTTTAAGAAATTCTAGTCACAATCTTCACTCTTCTACTGCCTAGCTTATCTTATTACCATACAAGTGATATGAATGTTATCAGCTAAATCACCCTAACGCTGCATTTGAATTGATCCCTTGACAACCTTTAGCCCTCAGTTAATTTCAGGGCAGGAATCAGCATCTATGTAAAGATTGCATTGACTTGCAGTTTAAGAGAAAATACATTGAACCTGTCGGCTCTTTAATCATCCATATTCCAGAGATGCTGGCAGAGCTCAATTAATGAAGTGCCATTATAAAACTCCACTAGAGGACAATACTGTGCTACCATTAACACATTTGTTGCCACATCTCTTTATAATGTGCACCTTTTTAGCCTCTACCCTCCATTCAAAATAAGATAGTGAACAAAAAAGACCCAATTGTTTTGCATTGTTTGGTCAGAAAAATAAATTTAAGGAGAAGGCACAGCAGCATGTTTTCAGTGGATATGTCCAATTTGAAATATGAAATACTTTGTACAGAATTACATATTCCGAGCGTACAAGGAATGGTTGTGTTCAATCCATTTGAGGTAAGCTAACAAATAATGTGACATGCATTGTAAGGAATCAAAACATTCATGCGAAAATCATATTTAATGATAACATTCCCCAGGATTGGGGATCCCAAAATCCCATCTCCCAGAGTAGGATTATCGGGAGTCTCAGAAATCCAGATCCAAATAACCCTCATTGAATGTGTTATGAAACAATACATAATACTTACATTGATTTCAAATCTCAAAACAATTGCCCAAGTAATCCATAGTTTACATAAATTAATGTGCAAGAGTTATTTTGTGCAGTGTAATTTTACCTATCTAGCCACAAGCATTAATATGTAAGATTAAGATTTATGTCAATTTTAGAAAATTCTTAAATTCAGTATTAATTTGATTGTGGCTTTTCTGAAGTTTGTTTTAAGAATCACAAGAGTGCTTTTTAGACTGCAAAGCTGCAGTACATCTCTACTTGATAGCTATTTTGTTTTGTTACTCATGATTCACTTGTTGAGTTTTGGAAATTTTTATCCACAAAATCAACAAAGGTCAGTTGAGCTTTCTTTGTGACATGAACAATGTTTTGACTCAGACTAAAGGTCACATAATCTATCGAATTGTTCAGGTGTCAAGACATGAAAGCATCTCTGAGAAATTGAATTATTTGAGCTTTTGGAATGGGCAAACGAGGTTTTTCAGCTTTGTTTGAACAATTGAAATCTAGATGTCTTAGTTTTTACTAGCTATAAGCTGATATTCCAGTTGGCCCTATGTACAGTTCTGACATGTTAATATCAGAAACAAATTGAATTTCCCCCCTAAAAACAAAGGTGAAAACTGAATTTTAGCCCAAATTGGGGATTGGTTATAAGTCTAATAAATCTTTATTTATTCTTAATTTCTCTCTGTTGTCTCACATTGCTGCACATGGACACAGGTAGATCCAAACTACCACCGCTTGTTGCGTACTTGTTTTTCCCCATGACAACTGTGGAATCCCTCTCATAAAAGTTTTAATTTAATGATGATAAATAATTAGTCTTCAATGCTACTGTTCTTGCACTTTGATGCTTTCAGAACTATCAGGACTGTTCTGCAAATAGTACTTTGTTAAAGAAATTTATAGACTAATACAGTTTATATATAAATCTAATTAGAAATTATGATATATAATACAGTTTATATCAAATACAAGGATTATTATTATTATTAGTTTGATATATTTGGCTTTCCTGAAGCTGATATGTCTTTATAATCACATTTTCAGTGTTTATGTACCAAAAACAAACCAGCTATAGTATGTGGTCAATTCTGACACTTTTGTATTTGAGTGAATTTAGAAATATCATAAGAAGTTTCCAGTCAATAGTAACCTAGAAGATATAAATTGCTTGAAAATCAATAGCAACAAATTACTTAGATCTACATACTGTAAAAACAATATTTAAAAAAGTTGCTTTTGGGATTAATTTTCTTAAGGAAGATTCATACCTGATGACATCTGCGTGCTATGAACGGAACCAAATTTCTATTTTGCATTTTCTTTATTTTTTTCCTCCTCCTCTGAAGGTTTTTTTGATTCTACTTTCCGTCTTACAGTTGAATCTCCTCCAGTTATCCTCCAGTTACCTCCTCCAAATATTCATTATTTATTCTTGAACTGTGTCAGTGAATGTTGGCATGTTATTCAACCACATGGATAATTAGACTAGAGCCAAATCCTTTCTCCAATGTCCATGTATAAGCATCAGTATCATGAGTCATCAGTTAATTATGAGTGGTGAGAATCCTAGCTGTTTTTCGCATCATAACCTGCAATGTTGACGCCAATTGTTGCACCCAATGCCTTGCTGGCACAGATCATCTAACTTAGTACAGAGTGTGGATATTTAAGTGATGATGGATGTTGGGGTGTGGTTCCAAGGAGTTGAGTATTGGCAGCCAACTTGACTGTGGGAGGATGGGATATCGCAACTGAGCCAGGGTCTGTCCACACCCAATACACATTGCTTGTCTAACCTAGAGATGCTAAAGTCAAATAAAGTGCCGCAACTGTTAGCCCGGCTAAGATCAGCTTCTTCCACCCTGATTGACAATCAATCATGGGACTCCCTAGTACTGTGTAAGTAACTGGGAACGATATTAATGAGTGTGGATAAAATATAAAATATGGGATAATGGGATAAATAGAAACTATCATGATCTAATAAGCTAGTGGAACACATACGGCCTCCCACCTTTTCCTGTATTTTGAAGTGGCTCAGTCCCTCAGGACACAGTGCTTACACTCCCTGAATCATCAGGGAAGCTGAGAATGAAATCATGCATTCTTAAGCACTTTTTTTCCCAGTTTCATTTCTCACATGCCCATGTGGACTCTCATTACACTCTAAATCTAATGATCTGGTGTTCATTTAGGAAAATGCCAGTGTGGTCAGTGCACCTGCTTCCCACCAGGAGACACCAGAGTTTATGGGAAAACCTGTGAATGTGACAACCGGCAGTGTGAAGACAGCGAAGGAAACTTCTGTGGTGGTAAGTGTCCCCTTCATTTTCTCATTCGATATTTGCATCTCTCGTGTTCCAGTATACAGTACCTGACCACCACTTGTGCCAATCATTTGAACTTATATGCTGTCTTTCATGTAGGGGGAACATCTCAAAATGCTTTGCAAATGGAGAGTTGGAGGGAGATAGGGTGTAGATGAGAGATGACCAAAGATAGTTTCAAAGAGATAGTTTTTTATACAGGTTTTGAAAGCTGAGGGGTAGGAAGGCAAAGAGATTTCAGAAAAGAGTTCTGGGCAATTGGGGGTGGGGATGGGTTAAAGAGGTTGATAGCTTAAGGTGGCAAGATGGTAGGGTGGAGCAGGTGGGAAACACAAAGCGGATGGGAGATATGAAGCAGGAAAGCGTTGGCAGAATGAAGGGAATGGGTGGGTAGTAGGATTGAAGGAGATCCAAGAGAAAAGGACCCAGTGACGAATTATCCCATGTGACGAATTAGCCTTAGGTCCTCACATGTTCCGAGGCCACACTCTCTCACTTGCTCAGCCAGCACCTGTTCGGCTAGACACTGCATTTGAGCATGCGCCCAATCTCCGCCGAGTGCATGCATCAGTCACAGTCACTGAAGCTTCTGGTGTATTGGAAGGCCATGCCATGCCTTCCCACCCTATCCTGTCACAGGATAGAGCAGGAGGCAGGGCGGGAGACCACTACACAGCTTCAATAGACAAAAGGCCTCTGAGATGCAAGACAGGTTCTGAAAGTACGAGTTATCCGATCAATTTTATATTGTAAGTACTTACAAAAATTTTTACAATGCATTGAGTTATATGTTATGCAAAGTGACAAGTAAAGCAAAGTCACGTATTAATATTTTGCGTGGGAAGTGGCCAGGATATTGATGACATAACTACTTAAGCGATAGTAAAAAGTTAAACCAGGGTCGAGTTATCCAGAGTTTACTGTGTTGTATTAGGTTTACTTTATCAATCCCATTTAAAATTTTAAAATACCTCTATAAAGTCCTCTCTGATCCATCTCTTTTTAGGCTGAAAAGCCTTAAATCGTCTAATCGTTGCTCATAGTTATAGCTTATTCCTATAATAATAATGGTGTAAATCTTACAGTAAATCCTGTGTAGCGCTTTGAGGTTAGGATTAGGATTATTAATAATCCTTTCATTTGATATAATACTTTATCACATCAAAATGTTTCAATATATTTCAGAAGATTTTTATTGTAAAGTGCAGTGACTGTGTATTTTTTGGTGAACATAACAGTCAAATTGCATACAGCAATATCCTACAAACAGAAATGAAGTCAATGGCCAATTTATGTGAAGTATTGGTGGGCAGAACACCAGGAGAAACTCCTTTCTCTTTTCAAATGGTACCATGAAATCTTTCAAATCTACCTGAACAGGCAGATGGAGCCTTGGTTTAATCCTTGGTTTTGTCCAAAGGATGGTAATGCACGCACCCCTAATGCTGCATTGGAGTATCAGCCTAGACTGCGAGTTTAAAGTCCTGATGTGAGACTTGGATTTTTGACTCAGAGATGAGAATGCTGCCAACTGAGCCAGGCTGACACCATATTGGGAGTTTAATTGTTGCTCTCCTCTGCACAGTTGCTAGCACTTCGGCAGCTCCCTTATACTGTGGTGATCAGAGCTGTACACATTACTGCAGCCTGATCAGGATACTGCAAAACTGATTCAATAATATTCCCCAGCATCTGTTTGTCTTGTGCATTCCCGAGTCACACTGCTCCACATGGTGAGCAGAGTCTAATAACACCCATAGGACTCTTTTAGCTTCCCCGTTGACAAGTTCTATCCAATCCATGGAGTATGCATGGCTTTTATTTTTACTTCCTATGCAAACTGCTTCACACCATACAGTACCATGAATTGATGGGCAATTGACTGAAATTTCTATGATGTAACCATTAATGATGCCCCTTCCCCCAGATGAGATACGTTAACTCATCACAGACAAGTTACTGAACCTGGGATCTTCCGTCTCAATATGGTTTAACTATTCATCACATAAACTCATTGAACAGAGCAAAATGCAGTTTAAAATACAGAATAACTCCAAAATAATTTGAAATATAATGATTCTCCTTATTTCCAGAACATGTAAGTATTTTTCCATTTAAACATAACAATTTTAATATTTAGATATTTTTGGCAGAGCACATTGTTGCCTATCTAGTGGCTTCAGAGAATGTTTTGTTTCCCAGTATACTGTTCAGATCACCATGTAAACACACACTAAACTTGATTGGAACAAGCAAGAATGATCCATCTGAGGATATTACAGTTGTCTCTTCCATCATTAATTTATCCAGCACAAAGAGAGCTGATATGTTCATCGCTGAAAACAAGAAGAATTAACAAATGATTAGAATTAGTAAGGATTGTTTAATAAGTAACCATGTGAAGAGCTTCCTTCTTTCTATTTTAGGAATGGTGGAAGATCCCAACAAACCATTACTAAAAGTTCAGGATTCAAATAATGTAATAATGCAATTCTCTGTTGAGAATTGGGGAGTCCTTTTACAAGCAGAACAATCTGATTAATCAAAACCCTTTGTGATGATTTATAATAGAGACAATGACAAGGCCAGTGAGACACTTTGCATGATTAATGTGGAACGCTGAACTGAAAACAAGGCCAGCCTAAAGACTCCACAATAATTTATAATTAAAATGTAAGGAAGCCAATACTGATCATTGATGTGTGATGACATACATATATCTGAGAACCTCATTGCTCCAAGTTTATTCTGTCTACTGCTTAATTTGATGTCCCATGGTCATGGTTCTGCATGAATTTCTTGTGTGTTTTGAGCAGTCTCTCGTTCTTGTGGAGAGATATTAAGCGGATTATATTACACTAGAAGCTTTTTGATATGCAATATCAGTTATGCAAGTCACTTATGAAAATGCTGGATTTCAACACCATGGAAACCAGAAATATTGTATGGAGAGGCGAGCTAGAGTCAGTGGTTAGAGCAGTCACCCTGCAAGCGAGAGGACCTGGGTACGATGCCCAGGCAGGGTGAAACCTTGGGCAAGTTTCCTTACTGCCTCTGCCTCTGAAGCACTCCGAGACTCTACCCCATGTAAAGAGTGCTATATAATGCAAGTTGTTCTTGTTGTTTTCCTAGCAATAAGTAGAAACCCAGTTGTTAGTCAATTGGTGGATCGCTTTTTCAGGGATAATAATACCTTCAAAGTTACTAATGATAAAATATATAATTTAGTCACTCAATCCATGACTGTTTATGGGAAACTGTGGTGTGCAATTGGCTGCCGCGTTTCTCCCCAAAATATACAATCAATTTACTTTACAGTAGGTTCAGTAAAGCATTTTGATACATCTCGAAGATGTGATAAGGCGGTATATCAAATGCAAGGATTATTATTATTATGCAACTGTAGACTATTTACATACAAAATTCACAATTAAGAGTATTACAAGACTGTAATTTAATTCATGTGTGCCCATTATTAACCAGATTGTCATTTCTGAAACTTTAAAATCTAAAAGAATAGTAGAAAACGCCTTATATGCACAACAACAAAATTACATTTGTATAGCACCTTTCACGTTGGGAGGAAGTCCCAAGACACTGGACAGACAAAGTTACAGACCCGAGCTGGGGGTTAGGGTCGGGGAGGGTGGAGGGCAGGCGGGGAAGCAGGGAGATCGAAAGCACAGTCGAAGAGGAGGGTCTTGAGATGGGTCTTTAAGGTGGCAAGGGAGGGGATGAGACAGAGGGACTGCAGCATGGAGTTCCAGAGGGTGAGGGCAGAGTGGCAGAAGGCATGGCTGCCAATAGTGGGGCGAGCAAGGCGGGGGACTTGAAGCAGAGGCTGGAGCCCGCTGAGCGGAGGGAGCAAAAGGGTTAGGAGGCACAGAGGTAGGGAGGAGTAAGACCATGGAGGGCTTTGAAGGTGAGGACCAGGATCTTGAACTGTATCTCTGTGTGATGGGAAGCCAGTGGAGTTGGGCGAGGATAGCGTTGATAGGGTCGCGGAGCCTAGTGCGGGAGAAGACATGGGCTGCAGAGCTCGGGATGATCTGCAGCCTGTGGAGGGAGGAGTTGGGGAAGCAGACAAGCAATGAGTTTGCATAGTCGAGCTTCGATGTAATGAGAGCATGTTTGAGAGTTTCAGCGAGCTGTGGTGTGAGACAATGACAGAGCCGGGCGATGTTGGGGAGGCTGGGGAAGGCAGGGCTGGTCATATCGCAGATGTGGGGTAGAAAGGATAGTTAAGGGTCAAACAAGACCCCAAGGTTCTGGACTGACTTAGTAAGGTGGAGTGTGCAACTATGGATGGTGATGCTGTCAGCGCCTGAGGTGAGGAGGCACTGATGGGAGCCAATCAGGAGAGTTTTGGTCTTGTTGACATTCAACTGAAGAAAGTTAGCCTCATCTAGGACTTGATGTCCGACAGACATACTGTCAGGACAGCAGTGGTCCTGGAGTCAAGGGTGGAGGCAGAGAGGTAGAGTTGGGTGTCATCTCATACATGTGGAAGTTGACCCATGTCTGCAGATGGTTGTCACCAAGAGGAGCATATAGATATGAAAAGGGACCAAGGACAGAGTCTTGAGGAACGCCACATGAGATGGTGCGGGGGTTTAGAGGAGAAGTCGTTTGTGGAGATGAAGTGGAGGCGGTGTGAGAGGTACGATCCAAACCAGTCAAGGACAGAGCCGTGAAGGTTGAGGTGAGAGGAGAGGCAGTGGATAAGGATAAAGTAGTCGAAGGTATCGAAAGCAGCATAGAGGTCAAGGAGGACGGGAGGCAGAGGGAGCCCTGGTCGCAGATGGACAGAATGTTATTTGTCACTTTGACCAGGGCTGTTTCTGTGCTGTGGGCGGCACGGAAACCCGATTGGAGGGGTTCGAGAAGGGAGTGGCGGGAGAAAAAGATGTGAAGCTGAGAAGCAACAACTCGTTCCAGTACCTTTGTGGGAGGTGGAGATAGAGCGGTAGTTTGGGAATAGAGAAGGGTCCAGGGAGGGTTTTTTATGGATAGAAGTGATGACGGCGTTTTTTAATGGGGTGGAATCAGTACCAGAAGACAGGGAGAGGTTTATGATGTCTGTGAGTAGAGAGGTTTATGATGTCAGTAAGTAAAGGGGCAAGGAGGTGGAGCTGGGATGTAAGGAGAGGGGTAGGGATGGGGTTGAGGGAACAGGTGATCGATTTCATGCAGGTTATGATGGTGACAAGAGAGGAGGGGGTGACAGGTTGAAAGGTGTTCAAAGGTTCAAAGGTACACTCACACAATACAGGTAAATTTACTTAACAAACATCTACTTATCCTTCAAGTCCCGCCTCAAGACCCTCCTCTTCGACCATACCATCGGCCACCCCTCTTCCTCTTCCCTCCCCTCCCTTCCCCACCCAACCCCAGCTCGGGTCTGAAATTCAGTACTCTGTCCAGCACCTTGGGACGTCCTCCTAACGTGAAAGGCGCTATACAAATGTAATCTTGTTGTTGTTGTTGTCAAACATCTTCCACCATTCAGTGCAATCTTCTCTTTATTTCTCTTTCGCATGACCCGTCCCTGCTCCCCATCCACAAGTCAGTTGGATGCTGTTTGCCCATTACTTTGCTTTGTGCTCTGTTGAACCTGTTGGTTATTGGCTGGGTTTGCTTTCTTCTGCTGGCCTGGTGATTTTGGTCGCGCTGACTTTGATTGACAGTTCTCCTCACCATATAGCTGGTGTTTCCATGGTGCTGAAATCCGCCATTTTAGTAAATAACCAATAAACGGTAACCAAGGAAATAAAACAACACAATAATCAAAAACACTTGCACATGCTGCTTTACGTCTTTACCATTTCACCAACAAACATACGAAAAAGTAAAATATAGGCATGCATACCCGTGTGAATATGAGTATTGAGATCCCATATCCAACAATGGTGTCTATTACTCATTTTTATTAACTAATGAGAAATGCAATTTTGCCACTTCTGGATTCCCAATTTACCACAAAGGGCTAGTAGCTGACGTATTGGACAACTTGTATTCGAGCACATCTTTATCTGTTACTAGTGGCTATGGTGTGGCACACAGAGAATTACATGGTGGAGCTATCCAGTATACTGATGACAAGAAGAAGAACTTGGACTTACATTGCGCCTTTCATTTAGGGTCAACAACAACTTGCATTTATATAGCACCTTTCACAGGATATGGGTTAATGCCTGGGAGCGCTGCACAGTGGTGGGGTTAGACATTGAGCAAGAAAGAACATTGAGGGAAGATTCTGGGAAACATAATGGCTGACAGAGAACAACACATCTAAGTGTCAAATTTAATTTTAACATTAAAATTGTAACATCTCAAGCTCTTACCATCGCTACTAGAGGACAGACTACTTAGCTGGGAACTGGAAATCGACAAGAATGACATTTATGATGATATCTAGGAACCACAATAACCCTCATTTTCCCCACTGGGCCATTGCTCCAAGACGAGGGAGCGGGCAGGTTGGTAGGAAATCAGCAGGTCAGAGAGGTAGGAGGGGGCAAGGTCATGGATGACCTTGAAAGTGAGGACAAGGATCTTGAGCTCGATCCTCTGGGGGATAGGGAGCCAGTGGAGTCAGGCGAGGGTGGAAGTGATGGGATCACCAGGCCAGCAGAGCTTGGTGCACGAGAGTACGCAAGCTGCAGAGTTTTGGATGATCTGCAGCTTGTGGAGGGAAGAGTTGGGAAGGCCGATGAGGAGGGAGTTTCTGTAATCGAGCCTTGATGTGACGAATATGTGGGTGAGGATTTCGACAACCTGAGGGGTGAGGCAGTTGCGGAGTCTGGCAATGTTGCGGAGGTGGTGATGTGAGCCAATCAGGAGGGCCTCGATCTTGCTGACGTTGAGTTGGAGAAAGTTGTCCCTCATCCAGGACTTGATGTCGGACAGGCAGTCATTCAGGACATCAGTAGTCCTGGAGTTGAGGGTGGAGGCCGAGTGATAGAGTTGGGTGTCATCCGCATATATGTGGAAATTTACCCCATGTCTACGGATGATGTCACCAAGGGGGAGCATGTAGAGGGTGAAGAGGAAGGGACTGAGGACAGAGCCCTGAGGAACACCACACGAGACAAAGTGCATCAGTCAGATTCAGGTGGTAGATCCTTCGCCTCTGAGTCAGAAGATTGTGGCCTAAGGCTCTGAGAACCTCTCCTTTCAATTACCAGAAGTGCCCTGATCTGCCCCAGTATTTTAGATATTGTTGCAGCTCAGCTCCATAAAGGAATACAAGGAAATGATATTGGGAAAGAAAGCTCCCTTTAAATAGAATAAGGAACAACAATGTAATACTATGCGTTGGTAGGTTACAACATTTTGTCATTTTCTCTACATGTTAATTAACTTTTTAAAAGTAGGCAGGAAGCAGCTTAGCTAACTGGAAGAAAATGTTGTAATGTTTTGATTGATTGTTGGCCTTTAAATCCAACCTTTGTGTGAGAAAAAGGATTACTGTTTCATGTTGAACGTTTCACTGATTGCACATTAGATTTAATTACATTCCAGTCTGATGATTCTGCGCATGGCTGTACATTCTGAGACGTACACAGCGAGTGACACACACTGTAATTCACCTCTATTTCCTTGAGTAATAGTTGGGGTTGCTATGCACGTCATTCAGGAATAATTGGACAAGTCCTAGCGTTTTGAACTGTAATGATCTGTGAGTAATAATCAGGGCCAGTAAGAGTAACGTTACTGGATTTTGGGAACCTGTTTACTTTCTTTGATAATGCAAAAGGAGGATACACAAAAAACACTGATTACAGTTGTGCTAAGGGACTCACTAGACAATAAAAAGCCAATTAAAACAGTTTTCTATTAGGGAATGTCTTACATATTTCTGCTGCTAGGTTTATACTTAAAAGATGGCTTGTTCTTTGAGTTACTGTACCTTCCAGAACCCTTATGCCTCGACTAGCAGGGAGTTTGCATAGTCAAGTCTGGATGTTATGAATATGTGTATGAGGGTTTCAGTAACCTGTGGTGTGAGACAATGGTGGAGCTGAGCGATGTGGCGAAGGTGGGAGAAAGCAGAGCGGGTTATGGCATGGATGTGGTGTAGAAAGGATAGTTGAGGGTCAAACAAGATGCCAAGGTTCCGGACTGGCTTAGTAAGATGGAGTGTGCATCCTTGGATGGTGATACTGTCAGTGCCTGAGGTGTGGAGGCATTGACGGGAACCAACCAGGAGGGCCTCTGTCTTATTGACGTTCGACTGAGGAAGGTTAGCTTTCTTTATAGCAAATGGGAGGCTGAAGAGTTCATGGATCGAACGTTTCAGGAGGTGGTCACCCCACAGCCACAGAGGATTCAGGAAGAGAGTGAGTGTGTCACCACTCGGCATGGTAAGAAGAAGGGACGGGCAGTGCATAAATCCCCTGAGAGTGTGGCACTCACAAACCGGTTCTCTGTCTGAATACCAATGGAATCAACAGCAAATGGATGCACAGGGGGACACAGCAAAGAGTGTCAATGCAGTTGTCATTGGGGACACAACAGTGAAAGGAGTAGACAGATTTTTTTGCAACCAAAGACATGACTCTTGTCTCCTTGGTGCCAGTGTTGAAGGCATCACGGAATGGGTCCAAAATATTCTACAAGGGAAAGGGGAACATTCAGAAGTTCATGTTGGGATTCTTGACGTAGGGAAAAAAAGGACTGAGACCCTACAAGGAGAGTATTGGAAGCTAGGGAAAAAGCTAAGTAGTAGGTCCTCAAAGGTGGTGATCTCTGGATTACTTCCAGTGCCTCGTGCAAGTGAGCATCAAAACAGCAGGATCAAATACATGAATGCATGGCTGGAGAAATGGTGCAGAAAGGAGGCTTCGGGTTCCTGGAACATTGGGACCAGTTCTGTGGCAGGTGGGACCTGCACAAGTTGGATGGGTTACATCTGAACAGGATGGGACCAATTTCCTCTCAGGGAGGTTAACTAGTGCTGTGGGGAAAGGTTTAAACAAATTTCGAGCCAGGAAAGGAATCAGTATGTACTATCAGAGAGGAGAAACAAGTTACAAAGAGGCCTGGAAGAGATGAATAGCAATGCAATAAGGAGTAGTCCAGAAAAATGAAGGATTAGAGAGGGGAGAAATGCAGAGCAGACTAAGTTAGTCTTGAAGTGGCAAGAATTATTATTATTATTAAAAGAAACAGAAACGAAGTGAGGAGAAATTTTTTCACATAGCATGTTGTTTGGATCTGGATTGCATTACTGGAAATGGTAGCGGAAGCCAACTCGGTAACAACTTTTAAGAGAGAAGTGGATAATTATTTGGGGAGGACAAGTTTGCAGGGTTATGGTGAGAGAGTGGGGGAATGGGATTGATTTAATCAATTTAATTTAGGCATTTACAAGCTGGAGTTGTTGATGAAAATAAGATGTGATACAATTTTCACCAAGATTAAAAAAATCACATTTTTTTGCTTGCCTATTTATTAATCCAACAGGTCATGGCATCTGCTCATGTGATAGATGCATCTGTGAGGATGGTTGGTTTGGAAAACATTGCCAACATGTGCGGGTCTGCAACATGACAACAGAGATGAGCAGGAGTTTATGTGAATCGTTTGAAGGAACAACCTGCTCAGAGAAAGGTGACAAATTTTCATTTCATTTTTTCAAAGAATCAGAATCTAATTTGCAATGTTGGTTATTTACAAAGTAAGTTACCTTACAAAGGTAAATACAACTTCCAGTTTGTGATCTCTGGTTAGTGAAATTCACAGTTTTGTTCACTGGTCTTTCGTCAGACCTCAATGGAAAGGCTTGCATGTGCTTAAAATAACATTCTTCTTCAGCAAGACTGGAGTTTGCTCAACTGCATTATTTTTCTCATCATTAAATACGAAAATTAAAAATTTGAAGGAGCAATAACTTCTTTTGGTCAGTATACTGCCTACAAACTAATGCCCCCAAGAAATGACATCTTCTTCATACAATGTAGTGTTTCACATACTTTTTGTTTTCATTGGATTTAAGTAACATATTGACAGTGTTCTTTCTGGTGAGAGTACAAGCCTCCCTTATTCTTTTAAAAAGAAACATCACCAGTTTTATCTTTGTCTGTTCATTCAGTAAGGCATGAATTAGTCAGTGTTTGCAATTGATGTTGCTGTTCTTTGCAGGCTCTTGTCACTGTGGCAAGTGTATCTGTGGTTCTCCTCAGCAGTGGTACATTTCGGGTGAATTCTGCGAATGTGATGATAGGGAATGTGACAAGCATGAAGGCCTCATCTGCACAGGTAATTACCATTCCCTTTGCACTACTCCTTAGGGTGAGGCTGAGGGAATGGATTTATTTCACATGTGTAATTACTATCTGAAACACCTACTGCGTAGCACAGATTTGGACATTACCATCTTGTCATTCCTCTTCACTTAATTTTTAACATGGTACATATTCAGTGAGACACAATGTGATGCCTGTTTACAAAATGGGATAAATCAAGGCAAGCTCCTCTGTGATTTTCCACTAGCCGAGCATCTGATTTCTAACTATTTATTTTCTGCTTGGACATTATTATTCTTCGGTCATGACTAAGAATTCAGGGAAAGTGAGAAAAAAACAATTATAGATTTGCTTAAAGTAGGCAACAACTGCGCTGGAACAAAGCCCATGCAAATCACATTTGAGTCTGGACAAAGACAGATGTAATCGAGGCAAATTATTCCCATTTTTTCACCTGCTGCCCTTCTGATCCAAAGTTAATCTTGATCTAGGCATAAGTATTCTTTCGAAGTAGTGCTGCATTTACCAGAATTCAATTGTACAAGAGTTCTTAGCAATCCAAGGTCAGACGTGACATTTATATAATAATAATAATCCTTGCATGTTGATATAGCACTTTCAACGTCTTCTCAACATCTCAAAGCACTTCACAGAATAGACTGTAAAGTGAATTGACCGTATATTTGTGGGCGAAACACGGCAGCCAATTGCGCACATCAGTGTCCCACAAACAGTCGTGGATTGAAAATTACCAATTTATTATTGTTTTTGGTTTTGGAGGGATTATTATGCGTGTGGAGTAAGGAAACTTGCCCAAGGTTTCGCCCTGCCTGGAATTGAACTCAGGTGTCTCGCTTGCAAGGCGAGTGCTCTAACCATCGAGCTACAGGACTCCACTGACATTTACTGATAGCCATGCAAAGAAGGGGGAGCTTTCTAGGCTAAAGTTGATTTCATTGATAAAGTCAGAACAGAATTGTACTTAAAAGAATAACTTGCAATGACACAACTGTGCATGTATCTCAAAGTATTATAAATTCTGAGAAATCACTTTCTCACCAGCTGGCTGACACTAACCCACCACAGCAGGGATGAAGTGAAGTATGGTTTTGCCCTTGTGTAGCAATGAGCTTCTGCAAACTGATCAGGTTATAAGCACATAACTTCCAATGGACTCTTGTCACATTCATCGGGCAGCTCAGTCAAGCAGCCAGCACACAGCTTTAAAAATAACTATTTTTTTTTTAAAAAATACCATATTACAATAATAGGAAAATTGGTGGGGGGTTTCCACTGATTTGCCTGCTCTTGCCAAAAATATTGAAATACAGTATTCTGAATTATATTTCCAGCTGTGGTGCACTTTTTCATGATTGATTAAAGGTTCTTTATGTATGGTTTAACACACTGTGTAAAGGGATTGGGAGTTTTATTTTACATGTGAAAGGCAATGTATAAACGTGTTATTTTGGGCTTTCTCTCTCACTCACTGAACCAGTGCGCAATCTAGGCATCCAGTTTGACCCCCAGCTGTCCTTCTTCCCCCACATTTGGTCCCTGACCAGGACCACCTTCTTCCACCTCCGCCACATTGCCTGCCTCCGACCGTACCTTACCCCAAATGCAGCCGAAACCCTCATGCATGCATTTGTCACCTTCCGATTGGATTACTCCAACGCACTCCTCGCTGGTCTCCCCAGTTCCACTATTCAAAAGATCCAGCTCACTCAGAACTCGGTCGCCTGCATACCGACCTGGACCAAACTCACCAGTTCTGGCTAGGCTCCACTGGCTCCCCATCACCGAACGGATTGACTTCAAGATCCTGACACTCATGCTTGAATCCCTTCACTCTCTGGCAGCTCCCTACCTCTCCGACCTCCTCACTCCCCAATCCACCACCCGGTGCCTCCGCTCAACTAGCACCAGTCTCCTGTTTGTCCCTCGCACCCTCCACCCCACCATCAGGGGTCATGCTTTCAACCGCTACGATCCAAAACTCTGGAACACTATCCCTCAATCCCTCCGCCTTGTCCCCACTCTCCCCTTTTTCAAGTCCCACCTGAAAACCTTCATCTTACGGCCACCTCACCCTCCCCGCCCGGCTCGGAGTCAGGCTCCGCCACTTCAAGCGCTCTGAGACACTATCCTGTGTGGAGGGCGCTATAAAAGTGCAAGTTGTTATTTTAAGAACTCATTTTTGCTCTCACACTTTCTCTATTTATGCAGAGGCATTTTTCTCTTGCCATGTTGCTGCTGCTTATAGTTTTTCTCTCTAATATTGCTGCCTTCACCTGCAGCTACTCCTGTATATTTGCTTCAGTTACTTCCATTACTCATTAATGATTCGCCTGCTTAAAATTAATGATTTACTTTATCATTACTTGTTTTTAACATGTGCAGGCTAAAAGACATTCGCAGTTCAAAGTGTAATATTCAGAAACTAGATTTGTTGTTCACATACCCACTAGTATACACATACACATCACTCCCACCCTCGCTCGCCTCCACTGGCTTCCCATCCCTCAGAGGATCGAATTCAAGATCCTCATCCTCACCTACAAGGCCATTCACGGCCTCGCTCCCTCCTACCTCTCCGACCTACTATCCCCTACTTACCTGCCCGTACCCTCCGTTCCTCTGGCTCTGGTCTGCTCCACATCTCCCGCCCCAACCGCCCTACCATCGGTGGCCGGGCCTTCAGCCTCTCAGCCCCTAGGCTCTGGAATTCCATCCCCCAGAGCCTTCGCCTTGCTTCCTCCCTTTCCTCCTTCAAGGCCGGTCTCAAGACCATTCTCTTTGACCGTGCCTTCAGCTCCCCTCTCGACCCTCTACCCCCTCCTCGCTCCCTCCCTTCCCTCCCCTCACCCTGACCATTTCCCCCCTGCTCGGGTCCTGACCCAACTGTCCAGCGCCTTGGGACATCCTCCCGACGTGAAAGGCGCTCTATAAATGAAATCTTGTTGTTGTTGTTGTAGTATTGTTAGCTTTAATTTAATGTTCTGGTCATGTGATTCTCAGAAGGGGCGTTGCCTAGGGATGACTGATAGAATAAGCCGCAAAAGTTGACAAGCTGAACATAGCCAATGCATTGAAAACTGTCATGGAGTTTGGTCTTTTATACCTAATGCTTCAGTGATTAGAGTTGGGACTTTTCGAGTCAGGAAAACAAAACCAGTATCCCGTTTATATTAACACATTTAAAATACGCACATCTTGAAATAAATTTTAAATAATTAATGGACACAAGCATATAATTTGATGACACCCCAGAGCCTTCAACTAAGTTGGAGTCATAATTCATAAAATACTTACAGTTTGGGTAGGATGAGTGAACTGACTTAATTATTGTTACAAGTCCATCCAAGGTGCAACTCTAGTACTTTTATCCCTCTGTCCTCTTGTCATCTCACACTCACAAAATACACATTCTTACTGATGATGAGTATTCATGCAAATCAGGCCCCCTTCAGACAACAACACCCTTTAACTGAGACAGTGAGACAGATCCTGCTACCTGTGGGGTGTAAATGACCGAAACAATAGCATGCAAACACGAAGGCAAAATCCTAACAGACATTGAGTCTCCATTCAAACGAAATTCAATCAGGTTTGCAGATTCCCTGGTCATGACGTCACCACCGCCACGGTACGAAAACCCTTATTACATAAGAACATAAGAAATTCTAGATGGAAAAAAGACCAAGAACTTCTCCTTCATGGCGGTCCCATGCACATATGTCCTGAACTACCCATGTACAGTACTATATCCCATAATGTTATTTCCTAAACAAAGACTATCTAATCTGTGTTTGAAGGAATCAATACTTCCTGCTTCAACCGTCTCCCTTGGGAGCCTGTTCCACAGGTTTACTATTTGCTCACTGAAATAATATTTCTGTAGATTCGTTCTGAATTTACCCCTCTTCAATCTTAAAGACAGCAATCATGTCGCCTCTCAATCTTCTCTTTTCCAGCGTGACATGCCCAAGTTATTTAGTTTCTCCTCATAATACAGTCCCTCCATTCCTTCAATTATTCTGGTTGCCCTTCTCTGTATCCTCTTGATTTCTCCCATATCCTTTTTGTACAGCGGCAACCAGAACTGTACACAGTACTCTAAGTACGGTCTCACTAATGATTTATACAATGGCAGGATTACCCCACTATTTCAGCTTGCGATTGATCTTTCGATACATCCCAACATCTGGTTTCCTTTGCTCACTGCCACAGAGCATTGTTGCAAGAGCTTCAATTTATTGTCAATCATTTTCATTTTCCATATATGTTATTTTCCTTCCATTCAAATAATAGTCCTTTCCTGGATTTTTTGCCGCCATGTGAAGTACTTTACATTTTTCCACATTGAATTTCATCTGCCACCAGTCTGCCCAATTCCTAAGTATATCTTATTCAGCTTTGCAATCTACAACAATAACTTGCATTTATATAGTGCCCTTCTAGCTGCGTATTCTGTTTTGTCTTTAGTGAATAAGAGGATGAAATTTTGAAAGATGTAATAATTCATACCAATGTTAATTGACATGTCACAAGTCACAATGATCACCTATCATAGAATCATAGAATCATGCAGACCAAAAAGAAGCCATTCGGCCCATCGAGTTTGTGCCGGCTCTTTGAATAGAGCAATTAATGTCAATCCCATTCCCCAGCCCTTTCCCCATAACCCTGCAAACCCGTCCTCCTCAAATACCCGTCCACCGCGTTTTTAAAAGTTGTTGTCGAATTGGCCTCCACCACCCTTTCAGGCAATGCGTTCCAGATTCGAACAACTCGCTGTGTGAAAAAATTTCTTCTCACCTCCCCTCTGCTTCTTTTAGAGACTATTTTGAATCTGTGACCTCGTGTCACCGACACACCCACCAGTGGAAACAGTTTTTCCCTTTCTAACCTATCAAATCCCCTCATGATTTTGAAGACCTCTATTAGGTCTCCTCGAAACCTTCTCTGCTCCAATGAGAATAATCCAAGCCTCTCTAGCCTTTCCTCATA